CCTTCCTAACCTCCCTCAATCAATCCTTCCTACTATGAATGGCAAGCCTTTTATAAATTTTCTGTTTTCAGGTGTTTGTCAGTAGGGATCAACTGACATCATATATTTGTCTTTTACATGTTTTACATGTTAGTCTTATGTCTTGAGAACTTGTTAAATTCACTTATTAGTTTGAGGGAATATGTGTAAGTGCATGTTGAGGGGACTGATTCCTGAATTTCCTACATAGAGCATCACAATTTATGAATAGGGACTTTTTTTTCTTTTCCAAACTGCATGTGTTTTATTTTACTTTCCCTATTGTACTGACAAATCCTTTCAGTTCGAGGCTGCATACCATCCTGAGAGGGAATTCCCTTGCCTTGTTCTTAGCATCATAGAGAAAGCATACTGATTTTCACTGTTAAGCAAGCGTTTTAGCTGCAGTGTTTGATTGACTGCTTTTGGTTTGTTTTGAGATCTCTTTGTCATTTGATGTAAAAGCTTCATTCTATGGCTAGCCTTTCAGAAGGTTCTATGATGAATGAATGGAGAACTTTGTCCAATGCAATTTGAGAATTGCTTGATATGATCATATAGGTTTTCCTTCTTAGACTGTTATTATGGAGATTACATTGAAAATTTTTTATGTTAAGCCAGCCTTGCACATACAGATTAAGTGCCATGGAGGTCTGCTCTGTTTATACCTAGACTTTTACTTTTGGCCTGTCTTTTATACCTATTTATTATAAAGGAATGCCTACAAGAGAAATCATGCTTCATTAAAAAACTGTTACATAAAACCGGGCATGGTGTGCATGCCTTTAATCCCAGCACTTGGGAGGCAGAGGCAGGCAGAGCTCTGTGAGTTCAAGGCCAGCCTCGCCTACATAGTGAGTTCCAGGACAGCTGGGGCTACAGAGAGACCCTGTCTCAAAAAGACAAAAAAAAAAAAAACTTGTTACATGATAATGTCTTTTAACTATGTGTTCACACATTTAATATCTAGTTAATATCTAGTATAATATACATGCATCTGTCTCAACTTTCATTGCCATATTTATGTTTATTTTCTCAGGTTTTGTTTGTCTTCTTTTTCCTTTTCTCTTTTTCTAGGTTATTTGGACATTCAGTGTTTATCTCTCTGTGCTTGAGTTTTTATCTAACAGAGTTTCTCCAGGTCCACCCATGTCACAACACAGTGCAGAAATTCCTTCTTTTTAAGAATTGAATAGTACTCTATCACATGTTATGTTTTAGCAAGACTTGGATATTTACATTTCTCCTAGTGGTTGTCCCACTAGGACAATTCAAGTGACGTGTACATTCCTTATTTCTAGATAGGCCTTCCTGACCTTGCTCGTTTATGTTGCAGTTAAATATTATATCTACCTACATTGAAAATTCTACCATAAAATACCATATTTTTCTTTTTAACATATGGGTATGCAGTATGTGTGTGCATGTGTGTATGCACATTCACATTAAGTAAGTACACTGTGTGTGGATGCACATGTATGTGTGTGCATGCCTGAAGTTGACAGAGAGTGTCTTTCCCTGTTATTATCCGCTTTTCTGTTTATTGAGGCAAGGTCTCCCACTCAACCTAGAGTTTGTGGATCCCAGTCAGTCTAGCTAGCCAACGGGTGCTGTGGATCCCTTGTCTCTGTCTCCAGAGTTCTAGAATGACTTGCCTAGCTTTTATTAGGGTTCTAGCGATCCAAACTCTGGTCCTCATCATTATGTAGCAAACACTTTATCCACTGAGTGATTTCCCCATTCCTCATAATTGTTTTTATCTTCAATATACTATTTCCAATGCTAATGCTATGTTCTGCATCTCTGAGTCTTTTTTCTGTTGTTTTAATAGGCAATTGACCTGGCTGGAGAAAGGCCAAAAACTTTAGCCACCCCATGGCTGCAGTGTTTGAGCTTTTTCACTGTTTGAGCTCGCCCCATCCGTACTCTTTTCCAGAGGTCCGTCTGGAAGTGAAGATGTGATCTATCTTGTAGCTCTGTTCTCGAAGCTTACAATATTCCATTTAGCATCAGATTCAGCTTGGTGATTAGCTTGGGAAGGATAAACAATTTTGTGGGTTCATTTTTCTGAGCTTCTGTTTATAACCCCATAGTATTTTCGGGTTGCACGGGTTACCTCACCTCCCGTTTGCTGTTCTCTGGCCAGGACTAGGGCTTTATTAACCCATCATTCATGCACATCTCAAAACTACTTCCACCCAAACAGACAAACTGTAAAGACACAGAGAAAAAAAATTGATAGTTTAATGCACTCTATCAGGACCACAACCCCTTATACCAAAGTGAGGAATTCTCCTTCCTTGGAGATACAGGCTCCCAAGTGTCTCTCGTGGCACTCTTGTTAAGGCCACTGCTTCAGCCACAGGATTGTCTAAAGTCTGGGCAGTAAATGACCCAGGGTAGGGAGGAGAAAATCAGGAGAAAGAAAATCCAGGAAACCCTTTCCTAGTCTTTAAGCCAGACTTGGGCGGCTTGTCCTACAACTTTTTTCCATGATTACTCATATCCACTTACAAGATTATAAAAAGTCTAAGTCAAGGGATATAAAAGATAATTAGTAAACTTTACACTTTGAATTCTTGTCTTCTCTAACCTGCTTGTTTCTATTTGCTTTTCAAGGTCCTTCAATTTATTTTTCTTTTTAAAATTTAATTATGTTTATTATTATTGTGTGTGTGAGAGGTGTGTGTGTGTGGGGGGGGGCATACATGTGGAAGGCAGAGGACAACTTTGGGGAGTTGGTTCTTTCAATCTTTACATGGGTTCTGGGAATCAACACACTATTAAGCTTAGGTGTGAAGTGCTTTTACCCACTGAACCATCTTGTCAGCCCTCAAATCGATTGTTCTATGTGTGTTTCCAGGTTTTATAGCTACAATGATGAAGGGTGGTATGTGTTTACTTTACCTTACTCGAAATGACAACCGGACAATAACACGGATGTTTATGTTACATCAGAATCCAAGAGATCAGGAAGGCTCTGAGGACTTTCTGAGAAGCCACGCAAAGATGATAAGGAGTGATCTGCAGTACATGCTGAAGGTGCTGTGGCTGCATTCAAACTGGGATGCTTCTTTACAGTGAGATACAGCATTGTTACAATTGTAGTTGGAAAACAGGTACACAATAGGAGCCAGAATCCATGGTCATCTTACCTAGAAGGAGCAGTGAGGAAATAATACTCTTTTTCTGATTGTATTCCATTGAGCCCAGTTGTTCCATTAAGGTCTACTATACATAGAAATTTTTTTGTTGTTGTTATTGTCTTTGTTTTGGTTGATTTTCATGTAGCAAATACAATTTTTTTCCTAAATGAAAATTTGTATCTTCATTGTACCCACTTACAGGAAAGAGGGTATATATGTTTTTATATATGTTTTTATATATGTTTTCTTTCTGTAAAGGTAGAATTCTTGGGAGTTCAATTATCCTGAACCAAGATAAGCCTGGTTGCACTGGCTAAAAGAAGTTTCTAAGTCTAAGATCTCTGAGAGAACTGGCAGGAAGCAGGACTCCTGGCTGTTGTCAAGGCACAATGGCCCAATGGCAGTGTGGGTTCCTCCCCACTGTGATCCCACAATGATTCTTACCACAAGAAACTTCCTGCAGGCATAATTTATACCCTTTAGCTCTGCTTTAACTGTATCACTGAAGTTTCCAACAAGGATGTCCCTTAGTGCCAAAGCCGCAGTGGTTTTTATGATGTGGGTTCCTCTGCAAAGAAAGATCAGAAGAGCAGTTCACACCGGCATCAAGTGACCAGATGACAATGACCTGCCCACTTGGATCTCACTTAGTCCAGTGGATGTGACACATGACATGTGAATCAGTCTATGCAGTGCTTTCATTTATTCCATGAATGATGAGTTATCCCATTCCATCAGGAAAGACAGTGCATGAAGGTTCTATGCACCCACATAATAATAAAATACTATTTTACTTCCAGGTTGAACTGCTTGTAAAGAAACCAACTTAGTAGAATCAAATTAGCCTTGTCAATCAGGACAACAACCCACCCCTTCAGCTTATCATCCCCAAACCAAGACCACTAACTAGGTCAGGGTGCACAGAATGTCTCAGCCTCAACAGGCAACTGGCTTGGAGCCGAGCCCCATTTCTGTTACAGGCTTGTTGGTTTCTATCCAGTGTACGCAATTATGCCCCAGACTCTCAGCATGGCTATTACTGCCTTTCCAGTTTGTAGGACACGGCTAGTCTTTTCCTTGTCTCCTACTTGGCCTAATGATTTGGGCCTAATTGGTCTTCTTCCAGACCCTCAGGGTAAGACAATATACATTAACCTCAGCATAAAGGTCTCTGGCCAAGAGTCAAAGAGAGAAATTAGTTCTACTCTCTTTTTTTAAGTCTATATCCTGCACAGACTCAAAGGAGGGAGTTGGGAGTTGCTTCCTCTATGTTCAGGCCCTCAGTTAGGACAGCTTGACTTCAACTTTTGATTTTATGATACTGCATTCAGTAGAAAAACACTGTGAATTTTGAACTTGGATCTTTTCTGGAGCTAGTCATTTGTGATATGACTCTTTCTTACATTGCTGGGCAGGGCAGCAAGCACAGCTCCCAATCAGCCCCACAGTCATGAGCAGAACAGCCAACATTCATTCTACAGTGTATTGTGTTGCTAAGATGGAACATGTGGTAGGGTACTAAATGCATTACTGACTTGTGATATCTTCTGCTAACAATAGATTCCATGGCACATTATCTTGTTGCAAGTCTAGAAACGTGCAGTTCAAAGGGGTCATTTCTCACTGTTATTTTCAGCTTTTATTCTTACTTTCTGTCCTTTAGATTGGATGAATGGGGGTTAGAGAGAAGGCTTAGTGGTTAACAGCACTGGCTGTTCTTGCAGAGGACCTGGGATCAGTTTCCAGGACTTACATGGTGGCTTAGGACTATCTGTAACTCCAGTTCCAGGGGGTCCAATGCCCTCTTCTGGCTTCCATAGGCATTGTATTCATGGGTACACTTTCATACATACAGGCAAAATACTCATACACATTAAAAAATTAAATTAATTAATTAATTATAAAAACTATAGAGTTGCTGAATGGACAAGGAGTAATAATTGTCTTCTTTACCCACACGCTTTACACAGAGTTAAAACACTCATATATACTCATTTGAAAGCATATGCATGGATTCATATTTACAGTGTACAATGGACAGGCAGGTATGGTAGACACAGTCCAAAACCACGAAGCAGAAGTAACCGTCTCTGCTCATTCTGCTAGCATATCTGGAAGCACTCAGGGTCTTGGGTGCTAAATGCGTGCACACAGAGGTCTGGACAATCACTCTCCCTCTGTCCAGTCCAGAACACCAGAATTTAAACCACAGCCTCAGTCTTGTTCCAGTGCCTGTCAAGTGTGCTCAGTGCTAAGAAAAGGAAGACTTGGTTTTCTATCAGCCTGATCCAGGCAGCGAGCTCTGCCCATCAGCACCATTCTCTTGGGGGCTGGAGAGGAAGGGGCTCCTCCTGGTTCTCTTGCCATTCCCTGAGCTGGGAGCTCCTCCCAGTGGTTTCAGGTTCACTTGGTCCTTTCCAGTGGAAACAATTCCTTGGGAAAATTCTAAGCTGATTCCACATGAATCTACTAGAGTTTTTTATGGGCATATGGTAACACATTTGGGTCCAGAACCTGGAACTGGGACGAACTGATTTTAAGCCTTTCCAAGTGACTGTAGGAAGAACCCTGAGAGCTTTCCTGACAAGAAGAGGTAGAGATTCTGGCTCCTGGAAATCACAGAATTTAATTAAAATTAGCTTCAGTGTTTGATCAGCCAAAGCGAGGTTCACTGCCGCTTGTAGTTCAAAGACATGGGGTCCATTGACATAGTTGGGACTCAGGATAAATACTCCTCTTCTGCTGGTCTTAATGATGTTCACAATGTCATCTGCATACACTGCAAACAAATAATTTAATGATTTTTCATTTGAAGTCATTGAAGTTTGAGTCTCAGCCACCTTGAACCTCCCCGAGATGCTCAGGGTATTCCTTCTCATGAACAAATGAGGCCAAAAGAAAAGGGGACAGGTTCCCTCTGCCACGTTTGCTGTCAGCACTCTGGACTGGTGAATACACCCTAGCACCTAGAACCTGTCAAAGGCTGCTTCCCTGAATCACCATTTCCTAGGGAGCAAAGCCTCCTGGAACATGGCCAAGGGACATGATAGATCCCAGGCTACTGTTAGAGAGCTCTAAGGCGGAAGAGGTCAACCAGTCAGTTCAGGCCCTGACACCTGACAGTTAAGGGTGACTGACAGTTAAGAGGCCTGCTGCCCCTTACTGAGAGTTTGAAGAGCAGATTTCTAGAAGTCAGAAAGGCTGCCTGTTTGAGATGACAGAGATTACTTCCTGTGAAGGATCCAGGAAAAGCACCCATAACCTGGTTGACTTCAGCAGGGCTCTCTAGTATTTACTTCTCTTCAGAAAATACATTTTTAAAATGACAGAGTATGTCTGTGGAACACACTTTTTTTTCTGTGTTTTTCCCAAGATGATCTAAGCTCATACAACCCCCAGATGATATAAATCCCAACAGAATGTATGATAGGAAAGCAGAGTTGCAGTGGGGCGTTCTGTGTGCTCTACACTCGTTTCTTGACAGACAAGACCTACCTCCTCCTGGGGGCACATCTCTTTCAAGCAAACACAAGCTGTAACCATATTTGTTTTCCAGAACTTCAGGAAACAGTTTCAAGGCCAAGTGTTCCTCACTCGGAGAAGAGACAGCCTCACTTTCAAAAGAGCTGCATTTCGCATAGGATACAAAAGCATCAAATTCCTTTTTATCTGAGGAAAAGGAGCAATAAACAATCTATTATTTTTTATTATCATGGTATATACAGATGCTTGAAGCATGTGTTAAATGGATAAAAATTAGATCTGGGATCTTTACAAAATGGATTAAAAAATAAAAACAGCAGCAGCATCCATTTTAAAATCACACCACTGAACAATTGTGATTGTCCATCCAAAATCAAATGACAATTTATGAAGCACTCTTGTATTTTCACTGGGGTCAGATCAAAGAGCTGGAGCCTCCTATGATAAGCCGATTCACTTGGGATGGCCTCTGAGCTTCTTTGCTTCTGCAGTGTTTCTGGCTCATTAGTTAAACATCAAAGAGGAGTCTGCTCCATCAAAGCATGATGATAACCAGGGAACAAGGTCCTGCTAAGACACAGTACCTTGCATCCATGGGAGAGCTGAGGACATACAGCTATGTATCAGCAAATGACATTTCAGCCAATGGTGGACTGCATATGCAGTGGTAATCCCATAAGATTATAACGGATAGATATTTCCCATCACTTAGTGATGTGTAGGCTTCACAGCATCATAGCATCACACATCCCTCCTATGTGTGTTGACCCTGGTGCTGCTAGATACATGAAACTATAGCATGTTGACCATGTACAGACATAACACTTGACAGCACACAAACATGTGACTGCCCTATGTTGTTGCTGCACTATACTTATCTTGTTGTAGAATGCACCCCCACTTATAAAAACAGTTTACTGTAAAACACCAGCAGCAGCTTCATATAAGTGGTGTCTATTCTCTTGATTGGATCATTTTTCTCTTGTGCTTGATTTAATGTTAATTGGCTTGCTTATCATAGACCTAGGAATATTAGGCTGACACATATGCATATGTAGATACCTATCATATATATTACATAGATGTATAGTATTCACACACACACACACATATGCTGAAGCACCTACAACCTAGTATGTGGTAAGTTATCCCAACTAGATTTACATAAGTAATCTGTTTCTATGAAGAAAAGTTGCCTAAAGGTGTAGGAGGGACCTGTGGGTATCACCGGACCTGGAGACTTCTGTGCAGGCATGCCAGTCTAACACAACCTACTTCCTCAAATTGCTAACCTGATATCTGCCCCCTGGACTAGAGACAGATAACAAGACGGCCACGCCAATAGACAATATACAGCTCAACCCTCAGGGCCAATGGGGGAGGTTTGGGGGGTATATAGGAAAGCCCTTTGTACGCAATAAACGAGCTTGCTGGCAGCCCACTACTGAGCAGCATCTCCCGGAGTCTGTGTCGTTGATTCCGCGCCTACTCATCCCCTGCCCCCCAAGACTGGAATTGGGCCACTGTAGAGCACAGTAACATAGAGGCACATTTATCAGAATGTACTTTTGTCATTGATACATGACTATACTAATGTCTGAACACCCACATGTAAAATTAGGTTAACAATGGCTCCTTAGCAGGCTGTTAATGGTTCCATGAAGTAACATATATGATGTACTGGTGTCTCTGGCTCATATTCAGTTCTCTCCCTTACATTTGAGAAACTGCATTTACAGAACTAGCTTTAGGCATTTTTAAAGGTCTCATATGCTTCTGTTGACTATATTATCATGAACGTTGGCCATAGACACTCTAAAGAAGTACAAGTGGCCTGGAAGAAATGAAGACATTCTAAAGGTACATATCTCTCTCTCTCTCTCTCTCTCTCTCTCTCTCTCTCTCTCAGAATATTGAAACAATGGACTCCAAAGAAATGGGAATTGGCCCAGGAAAGTCATCCAAGGGAAAGGCCCCAGCCAGTAGCAGAACGTGTCTCCCCAAAATAGATTTCACACGGTTGTAACAACTTGTCAGAACACTTTACAGGATAAGACTGAAGCCCAGATGAAGAAGGGTCAGTGGTGGCAGCATCACATCTTGGCAGGGACTGCATATCCTTGACCCTGTATTTAAAACTTTCAACTCATTTCAGGACTCAAAGACAGACTTAGGGGGTTCATTAGCTCTATTTGTCCATCTCCCAATGTGACTATATTGAAAAAAACCTCCTTTCTCTGCTCCCCACTATTAATTTGGATTTTTGAATTGGCTTATTGAGGATGGGTGGACAAACCTTGCTTAGGGCACTCGTGACCCCCTAAGTTCAATAACAAAGCTACCTAGACAAGGTAGGAGGTCCCACAAGTGAACTCACAGGCTTTGGAATGGAATACCCCTGGTTCCTATTGCAGCCCTTCCCATAACCCTTGTCAACAGCGTTGTTTCAGAACAAGTAGTGGTGCAGGCTGTTTGGCAGTGTGAGTGCCTGCTCAGCTGCTCAGCATGAACCTAAGAAGAGGCCCAGGGATGAAATGCCAGTAGAAAGAGCAGTCCACACATCAAGACAGTAGGATGCAGAGCAGAGACCCGAGACCCTGGGAGCTTGTCTGTGAGGGACTTTACGCCCATATGTGAGGGAGCCTTGAGGGTAGGGTTGGCAGGTATGTGCAGCTCGGTTTAAATGTGAAACACACCAAGTCACCTTTATTCCCTCCATATTCTTATGGACCCCAGAATTTTTTCTATTGTGGAAACTAAACTTCTTTACTAATGAAATTAAAGAATGAAATATAGAATAATAGGTGACCTCCTCAGGGCCTCCCAACGATCTATTTCTTTCTAGATTAATTTCAAATATTCACCTAAAGGATTTTATTTTGCTGACAAACATCAGTTTGGCCAGCAGAGGGCAGTATATCACTGTGCGTGAAAACCAAAATCTGACTAGAGCTGTTCACACAGTTAACAAAGTCAACAGAGACAGGACAAAGGGACAAATGTTTCTCTATCAACTGACTCTTTATAAACTCTAGAACCTAAAGGTAAATAACATTTCAGTGAAATAGGTTTGAAGTTACCATGGGAAAAAACTGATTTGCTCCATTAAAAAAAGAAAAAGCTAGTTAAAGTTTGTTTTCCTCAAAATGCAGCTTAAGGATTTCTAAAATGTACTATCAACAGTGAGACTAAGAAAGCTGAATTTTAGGCATTTCTTCTCTTGTGCTCTTAGTTTGGTCAAGGGTGTTTGTTATTCGTTTTCTGGTGCAGGGGTTGAACTCAGAGCTTGGTACATTTCTTTCCTTTTCCGTAGTGGTGTGAATTCTTCCTATGGACATAGCTAGAAGAAGTTCTCAAAACCTGAGAGGTTTTGAGGTAAGACGCTGCCCTTCAGGCACCATCCACTTCTTAGTTCCTCTCGTGTTCTGCCCCGCAGAAGCATATAGACTCTTTCCTAAGAAAATTTCAAGGAAACAAAGCAACAGGAAGCACTTTATTCTCTTGTCTTGTCTTATGATGGCATCAGAGTGATCTTACCCCCGAGAGTCTCATCCTTGCTCCAGTAGGTTCTGCAGAGCAGCACCATTTCAATCCAGTAGGTGTAGAGGAAGGCACCCGCCACCAGCAGGCTCACCAGCACCATGATGGTGCCAAGCAGGATGTACAGGAACAGCACTGGGGAAACATGGAGCCAGCCGTGAGCAAGCACACACGGGCCATCACTGAGAGCCTGCCCAGTGCCTTTCTCTATCCTCTTAGCTCATCGAAATCACTGCTATTGCCTGCATTTGTCTTGAATCTGGGGGCACCCTAAGTCTGTATGGAACTATTCACAATTAATGCCAGAGAACCCAGAGGTACGGGAAGTTTCTGATGGGGCCATCTACAATTCTTATCTATTTCACTTATATTTTCACCTGTAAACATTTGTACAGCCTATTTGCACCTCTCCTCCAACCTGTTACAAATTACATTCACATATTCTCATCCTCACCAAAGTCTAACTATCCTGAAATTAGAATTGCACCAGCTTTACTTTGTCCCCTCCATGATTCATTACACAAAGGATGTACAGAGAAAAGCCAGTGTTTCAGCACATCCCCACAGGCCAAGAATGAACTTTTTAATACTTATGCCTCAAAGATATTCTAACATACTTGCCTGTGCTATAATCATCTATTAACTAAATAAGTGAAAAAATGATACCAAGTTCATCTCTGGGTATCTCATTAAATTAAAAATCTATTGCATACTAGACATTTCTAACTTTATGTCTTCAAAAGGCTACAATTTGTGATATCTTATCATTATCAACACTCAAGAAGATGACTTCTGCCTTCCTCCATTCATCATCGATCAGAACATGACTACAACATGTTCTTAAAAACAGGAAAAGGCAAACAGCAAAGAAAGCTAGGTCTGAGCACTGTGCCTGCCACACCGAGGCAGAAGGATTCCTACAGGTGCCAGTGGAATGAATGAGTGAGTGAGTGAATGAGTGAAAGGGGTAAACAAGTGAGTGGCTGAATAAGTGAACTGAGTCGCTAAACAAGGGAATGCATAACAATATCATTTGGGAAGACCTGCTTTAGATAAGCTTACCAGAACTTGGTCAAGACATTAAATGAATCAACATAGCAAAGTGTCAAACAGTGTCTGCCCTCTGGAAAATGTTCCCTGCAAACACTGTCATTCAACATTGTCGTTCTTCCTTGGGAAAAATCTGAGAATATTTGGTTTGTTACCTAAGCCTTATGTACATAGCACATGATAATTGAAAGTATCAGACTGGTGGAACTAAACTTATTGGATGTTTAACAGCCATACTTTAAGGCCTATGCTAATGTGGTCAGAGGGACTTAAGGGACAGTTTTTGCCCCTTGCCCTCCTAGGTCGACCAAGTTTCAGGGAACTATGGAACATCCCTCAAAATGTCCTGTAAATGTGGTGAGTCACCTATCCTCTTGTTCTTGGAGGACATGGAGACCCCACAAGATGGACTTGAACCAGTGTCCAGTCTACAAAGAGAAGGGTCAACTTAGGGAAATATCTCATTCATGCTTCCAAGTGAAGCCAGACGAGGTCAAAGAGGACCTTTGACTTATCTTTACATAGATGGAACTGGTAAAAGAAAGGAGCCAGGAGCTCCTCCCAAGCCCATGTGACCCCTGAGGAACAGATCCTCAAACAACTTCGAATGTAAAGATAAATTGATTTATTTGGGCCAACTGTATGGTCTTAAACACCCAAAAGGAAAGTATAAACCAAAGAGTAAAATCATCAGTATACTTCTTTAAGAGTTCAAGGGATTACACTTCCCAGCCACTAGGTTTAAGTCTATGTAAAAAGTTATTTAGACAATTATTTCTCATTGATGATTTTGTTCCTAACCAGAAAGTGCTGCTCAGATGTAAGACTTCAAATCTTGGTCTCCAATACTGTAGTGCCCACCTGTAGCTAAGGGGGATAACCAGCTATTGTTCTAAAATGATATATAAATTTGTTTTCTCCCCATCCAGAAGCCTTTGAGAGGGAACTGACACTGATTCTAACTACTCCAACAGCTATCAAAATACCTGAAAACAAATTCTGAATCCATCACTCTTGAATACAACCTTGGAAGGCAAAAGAAAAATGAGGAAGAACCCAATAGAGGGATGCTTCTGGAAGACCTTGTCAAGAAATTCCAATGGACTCTCGTATGAACATTTGAAAATTGCCCTGCTCTGACTTTTTTCTAGTTCTCTGTCTAGAACTTGTAATGCTAATTACTCTTGCCTTTACTTCTCCTCACATCTCCTATTCATGATTCAAGGACTTTCTTTTCCCCCTAGAGATAAGAGTTATGCAATCTGGGAGTCTTTTAGACCCACTGAAGGGGTACTCCAGTTGCCTCACCCTGCATCCCCATTCAGCATGGAAGAAGCCAGAGAGGTCTGCGTCCCTATTCCCTATTGGCAATTTGGGTAACCTCTTCAGAGGATGGCATGATAAGAATAGGAGGTAGGAATTGGCTATGCAGTTAGGGTAAAAAGACCCCAAAGAAAAGTAGCCAGTTTCTTGGCTAAAAGGCAAAATATCCTTGGGACTATTAGCAACATACTCTGTTCCAAAGGCCAAAAATGTCAAAGGTTATTTGGGAGCTTGTATCTAATCCATAAAAGATTTTAGGTTTACCTCTTCAAAGGGGGGAATAAGAATAAATAAATGAAAGAAGAAAAAAAGAAAAAGAAAAAAGTGATGAGGAGATATGGGAGGTGTTAGAAGGGAGGGAGTGGGGATGGATTTGATCAAAACACCTTATATGCATGTTTGAAATTCTCAATAAAGTTTTTGTAAAAGTTAAAAAAAAAAAAAGAAATGGAACAACCTAAATGTTCTTCAACTGATGAGTGGATAATGGAAATGTGGTACATTTACACAACAGAGTTCTACTAGGTCACTAAAAATCAAAACCGAAATCATGAAAAAAAAGGTCTCCCCTCTCAAGAAAGAGCAGCTTTCAGTACTTTGGAGCAACCTTTTGGCTTACCTCTCTTCTTCTCCTTCAGCTTGATGATCTGAGTTGTATTCCCGATGGAGTTCTGGGCAAAGCAAACAAACTTTTTGCCAAGATCCCTTTCAGTGACTTCTTCCAAGAACATAGTGTATTCAATGACTTTGTCCTTTAAAGTAGATTTAATACTGGGAAAGAAGGGAAAAATTTCACACCCAGTCAGTAAAGCCAACTGGTATTCATCCAGCAGAGCCTGGAATGCTGACAAAGAGCTAATAAGAGTTGACACTATAAGAAGATAGAAGATTATGAAGCTGGGCGTGGTGGTGCAAGTCTTTAATCCCAGCACTCAGGAGGCAGAGGTAGGCCGATCTCTGTGAGTTCAACGCCAGCCTGGTTTACATAGTGAGTTTCAAGCCACCTTGGGGTTACAGGGAGACCCTGTCCCAAAAAGACGAAATAAAGAAGAAGATAGGAAGAACAGAAACACACTGAGAAGGATCATTCTTGATTAAGTTAGGGGCTCTGATAAGCATTTACAATGAGGTATAATTTGTTTATGATCCTCATCTGATCTTCCTTATTCTAAGAATTCCCTGGGGAATAGATATACCAATATTTTAAGAATAATGTTAAAAATTCAGGCTAGGGGACTATTTTAGTCAGTAAAGTGTTTTCTAGGCAGGCAAAGGGACCTAAGTTCAATCCTCAGAACCCACATAAAAAGCCAAATGCAGTATAATGTGTTTATAATCCCAGAATTGGGAAAGCAGATCAAGTGCATCCCTGGGGCTCACTGGCCAGCCAGCCTAGTAGTTAGGGATTTCCAGGCCAATGAAAGAGCCTGTCCCAAAACAAAATGGACAGCTTCAACTGGAGGACAACAAACTTGGGTCTACTGTTATCAGACAATCTTGCCCTTTCATCCTTAGTCCTAAAACATATCATACATACTATGTCAAGCATTCTTCTTGACCTTCATTGTTATCAGTGAAGATGTTTTGATTTTTTTCAGCACTTGGGTTTTTTAAGTCTCAAGCATATCCACATTTATTTAGTATCTTTGGAAGAAACAGAAAATTGATATTCTAAGGAATCAAGGTCAGGTACCCAGGTCACAAGATCACATGGTCCAGTGAATTTGTTTGCAATAGTATTTTGGTTATAAGTTTAATTTCAAGCCAGTAGTCTAGAATTTTTCCAGTTTATTAAAGTTATTCCTACAGTTAGAGGAATTCACCTAAATGAGGGTCACCTTGCAACTTCTTGGAACACAGATATGTGATTAGACAGAGGGTACCCTCTGCCACAGTCAGGCTCTGTGGATGTTCCAGCCTCATCACTTTAAGATGAGATCCAATAACCTCTCTGACATTAAAACTTCATACTAAATTTTATTTTTCTTAGTAAAACTTGTCCTTTACCTTTTATATCAATATATATGTATGGATAGAGAGATGAGAGATACGAATATAGTTTTCAAAATGATATTGCATTTGTTCAGTAAAATGTTTTAAAAACTGGAAGAAGAAACTTCATGTAGATTCTTACTTCAGGTCAAATATTAGAAAAATTGGAGGATATGTCCCCTATTGACATGTCTGACTAGCCATGATGGGACTGCAGTCCTAGGACTAGAGACCTGCTTTTCTAGGCATTGGATGGCTCCTTTCAACAGGCTGAACTCTCTCTCCAATAAATTCTGGGTTTTCTGCTAGCCACAGACAGCAATGACTTCTGACTTATCACACCATGTTACAATTGCCAAGCATTCCAAGAGAGACAGCTCCTCCCAAGCTCTTTCCCCAGGGTGGGTTGTTGTATTAAGTTTCTTATGTTGGAATCTGCATGATAGTTCTGTCTCCTCCAACATTTCCAGGCTGTAAATAATTCTCTAAAAACTGGATTCCTCCACTCACAATGCCCTGGAAGGAGAGCAATGGTGAAGATGGGGTGGGGCAGGGACCATCCTCTCAACACTGACTGGATCTGCAATTTCTAGTCAAGCAGTCTGAATGAGTATGTCTGTCTGCTGGAGAGCTTAGGTTTTAAGGCAGTTACAGCAAACTGCTGCTATAAAATGAGATTTTAACCCCTCTATGGGCTGAGAGCATGGCCTGGTGATAGAGTATTTGCTTTGCATATTAGAAGGCTTCAGCATCAAGAAAAAATAAATTAAGGAGCTTGGATTGTGACTTAGTTGATAAAATGCTTGCTTAGCATGCACAATGCCCTGGGTTCTCTCCCTAGGATCATAAACAGGGTTCACGGTGGTACAGGTCTGTAATCCCAGCATGTTGGAAGTTCAAGGTCATCCTTGACTATACAGGTAGTTTGATGCCAGTTTGGAATATATAAGACCCTCTTTCAAATCAAATCAAATATTTTAAAAACACTTTAACACCGTCTAATATGTTTTTGTCACTGTGCAAACATCAGAATGTACTTAACACAGGACAAGAGGGTTCTGACATCAATAAGTGATGCAATCTTAGGGACCACTACTGAATATGGATCCTCATTGACCGAAACACTTTACTTGTCCAGTCCATTCTATGACCCTATCAGAAATGTAGTGCTTCAAGGCTTTATATTAATATAATAGATGACAAATAATAGACAGATGGTAAATAGATGATAGATGAGAGCGATGACATACCATTAACATTTCCACATTTTTATTTTCACCACTAGTCAGTGCTAGTGGCTACTCCACTAAATACCATTAACTAACTATATGTTCGCAATTTCTAAAGACTTGAAAGCACCTAGTTTGGGTTGCAAAGACTAAAGCTCACTAACTTTTTCTTACCTTTTCTCTTGAAACCCTTGGATTTCCCACTCCTGGGCAGACTCTCTGATGTACCACCTTATCACAGGCTTAAGGGCTCTTTGGAAGCCAAATTGCACTTTGCAGGGAAGAGTTAAAGGCTTTCCTGTCAAAATGCAGAGGACAGAGGAAACAGGAAGGAAGCATGTCAGAACACTGCTGTGACTGGAATAGGATTCTACCAGAGGATGTAACCAGGTGTCAGGGTGATGGGTACCAGAAATAGCCAAACATCAACACATCCCACTCAGAAACATAAAGCCCATTCTGTTTGTTCCTCCTGGCTAACTCGTGTATCTCAAATGTGTAGCTATGTTCTTAACACGAAGAGTTTCACAATTATATCACTAAGGTTCCTCTGTGTGGGAAACATTGGATTTCTGTGACCAGGCCTGTCTCAAAATCATTGTTGACATATAAGATACACTAAAAGATCATTTTAATAACAAATATCTACCTACTGAGTGAACATAGTGTGATTACTGTGAACGTGAACCAAAGTTCCAGGAAGGAACTGCAACTTACACTAAACCTACTGAAAGCCTGATTAACTGATTAGAACTTCAGTGATGGTGGAGAAGCTGGAGTGTTGCAGGTCTAGAGCCTAATTTATCTCAGGCCATCTTTAGCTTTACCTATCCACCTCTGTGTCTGACCTAGCATCCTTAAGACTGACAGGTAAAACCTTCTGGAATGTATGAACAGACCACTAGCTTCTACCAACCAAAGGCTAAAAACGTCATTAGATAGCATAAGGCCTATAGCCGAGGTTTCCCTCTTTGCTATATAGCCTGTTCCCTGATGCTTCCACCAATGTATTTGAAAAGTGTCTTAATTTATGACTTTATTTATTCAGTTATTATAAAACTTCATGAAATTGTTACCATGATTGAGCATGTATTTGCGGTAATCTGAATCTGTGTTCACAGGCCATGGTCACTCATTTGGCTCTAGAATAAACTATCTCTGATCCATTTGAGGTGAGGTTGTGCTTTTCCACCGACACCACCATAGCATGTAGTAGAGAGAAGAAATTATTAAGATTCTCAGCTGCTCTTCTGGGCATGATGGGTGGGCACGCCTGTTATTGGGCTATGCCCACTGTCTTCTCCACCTCCACGAGGAATGTCCTCAGAATTTAACCCAGAAATGGGTAAGGAAGCCATTTGAAAGCGTATCTTTGACCTTGATGTTTTACCACTAGTTATTCTTTAAAAATCCACTGATACCATATACAACCTGACAGTACTTTGAATTCATTGTTTTCCTTCTTTCCATTCTTGTATTCTCCACACTGCCACAACTGATTCTGAACTGGGAAGGTGCCACTACTGCCCCCTACTGACCTTATACCATAATAATGATTCTTTTCTTTTTTTTTTCTTTTTTTTACATTTCTTTGTAACAACTAAATCTTTCATTAGCATTTAAACTGGTAAATATTTTATAGAAACACACCACCATTTGCTCTCAAATATAGCAATTATTACTCATCTGTGCATAAAGATATAAATGTAATTGAACTAGACAAAATAAATGGCAACCAGAATATCATTTTCTCCTTCACCTGAAAGAAGACAGTATTTTGGAATACATTTGAGCAGGAATTGCAGTAGTCTGTTATAATTTTCTTTTTTCTTTTTTTAAAAAATATTTATTGTTTTTATTTTATGTGTATGCTTGTAATTGCCTGTATGTAGGTAAGTGCACCCATGTTGTGCAATGTCTGCAGAGGACAGAAGAGACTGTTGGATCCCCTGGAACTGGAATTACGGACAGTTGTTAGCTGCCAGGTGGGTGCTGGGATTCGAACCGGGTCTTCTGCAAGAACAGTGTTCTTATCCGCTGAGCCATCTCTCCAGCCCCTGTTATAATTTTCTTAAAGCCTAGCCCAAATGTAATAGACATAAAAGTCGACCTCCATGAGTTGGCAAGTCCATAGATATAACCAATGGATACATATACACATATGCTTCTTCCTGGGAAGAATCTAAAACCTATTGATCTTGTCTAATTGATCAGTCACTTATCACACATTGCCCCATTATTGCTCAGTGAAGCCCTGTCAAGATCTGTACATGATGCCAATGGACAGATCAAATGATTGAGGCTTAGAAGGATTAACTCTGCATGATGACAAAATTAGTCAGAACTGAATCAAGAATCACACCCAACATTGTTACTTGAAACTCTAATCGCCCTTTCCTCACATCACACTTAGACCTGCTCCAGAAACCCAGAGTCTCACAGGGACGATAACAGGCCCAGCTTACCAAGTTCCACTTCCACTGTGTCAACAATGGGCTCCAGAATGGCTGGTTTCAAGTTAATGTCGTCCACTGAAAGATGAAAATAAAAATCATCTTTTTCACCGAGAAATTGCAAGGCCTGCTTGCTAAAGATTTGTATTTGATCAACATTTTGATTTAAATGTTCTTGATGCCTTTAAAAAAGATTACCCAAAATGAATAAATGTAAGAACTCAGATTTCTAGGTGGAAAGCTTGCCCCTAGAGTGTAAGGATATAACTCAGTCTAGTGGTTGACACTGAAGCATAAGGACCTAAGTTTGACCTCCAGAACCCTTGTAAAAAACAGACAAACAAACTAACAAAAAAAACCCAAAACAATAATGAAAACAACACAGCCAACCAACCAACAACGGCCACAAAAAGGCCTGGTAGCACATGCTTGTAACCCAGTGGTGGGGAGGTAGAGCTAGGCAGATATCTGGGGCTCACTAGCCAGCCAGCCTAGACTATTTGGCAAAGTATAGGCCAGTGTAAAACCCTGTCTCAACAAAAAACTGGTGCACTACATCTGAGGACCGACACCCAAGTTTGTCCTCTGGCCTTCACACACACAAACACACACACACACACATACACACACACACACACACACACACATACCTATATATACAAACTCCTACACCCATACACAAAGAAAGCTTGCTAGTGAAATGACTGGGCATCAAGTTATAAGTGCTAGGTAAGAATTGGTCCTTTATGAACCCATGTCTCCCTGGATAAATTATTTTCCACACCAATCCTACCCACTGCCCTCCCCATCTGCTTCTTCAGCTGGTTTTCTTTTTCTTGCCATTTGGTTTAGTCACTCAGCAAGAAGTAGAACTAAATATCAAACAGTTCCAAGTCCACCCCCACCATCCTTAAACTCATGCTTTATTTTAGAATGGAGAGTCCAACACTTAATTAATCATTCTATCCTTCAACTTCCTGCCACAGTTTTCAAATGTGTTTCCACTGTCATGCCACGCCTGAAGGTGTCCTATCTCCTGGTAAAAGCCACAGTCTTTCCTCTCCACATCATTGACTGACTTCTCACAGACTCCCTGGTTTACCCCATATCCTTTGTGCCACTAGCCCCCAACCTTCTTCACGGTAGCATTTATCTTTGCTCGCCAAGTCTTAAAAAAGAAAATAAAGCCCTCCACCTTACATCCCACCTCTCTCATTCTCCTTCCTTCCCAGCCAAATTCTTATAAGGATTCTTTACTCGTTTCTGCCATCCCATCACCTCCCATGGAGTCTGATTACTTTTTTAATACATTATTATTTTTATTTTATATGTATGAGTGTTTTGCCTGTATGTATGTAAGTGCACCCATATGGTGCAATGCCCACAGAGGTCAGAAGGGGGTGTCAGATCCCCTGGAATTGGAGTTACAAACATTTGTTAGTTGCAATTTGGGTGCTGGGAACCAAACCCAGATCCTCTGCAAGAGCAGCCAGTGCTCTTAACTGCTGAGCCATCTCTTCAGCCCCCACGATTTCTTTCTTCATCATCCCACTGAAATTTTTTGGATTCATGAGGAACATGCTTGTATCTAAATCCATCAGGCATCACTGAGTTTCTTAATCTGCTTTACCTCTCAGCAACACTGCACACAGTTGACCACATCCTCTTGTCTTGGGGACTTTGTTTTTTTTAATATTTTATTTATTATTTTTATGTGTATGAGTGTTATGCCTGCATGTAAGTGCACCCGTATCGTGCAACGCCCGTGGGGGACAGAAGAGGCTGTTGGATCCCCTGGAATTGGAGTTACAGACAGTTGTTAGCTGCCATGTGGGTGCTGGGATTCGAACCCAGGTCTTCTGCAAGAACAGTCAGTGTTCTTAACTGCTGAGCCATCTCGCCAGTCCCGGGGACTTTGCTTTTAATTTATGTGTCTGTGTATGTGTCTGCATGTGTGTATGTACACATGCATGTAGGCACCATGGAGGCCACAAATGGGCCTTTAATCTCCTGGAGCCCACGGTGGGAGCTAGGAATCAAACCCCTGTCCTCTGCAAGAGCAGCAAGTGGTCTTAACCACTGAGCCATCTCTCCGGCCCTTTTTTGTCTTCTTGACCTTGTATTCTCCTACAACCTTCAGTCTATGTCCTTATACCTCTCTATCCTTGTGGGTACTTTCTCTGTGCTACTTTCAAATATCCCTCTGGCCTCTGATCTCTCTGAGTGCACAGTCACTCTCTCTACTCTCCTCCAACAGGACAGTCCTCACTCCAGCCTTCTTCCTGGCGGGCTTGACTTCCCATGCTATTTCCCTAGTTCACCACCGTCACTTCTTCCCCCTCCCCCGACATCCATCTGCTAATGTGTGGTTCGGAGTCCTGCCCAAACTTCTTTGGGAATCTCATTCCATTTCTTAAAACATGTGCTTCTCCAAGTGTTGCAAACACTTGGGGGCTCAATTGCAGGCCCGCTCCTCACACTTGGCGGTTCTCACATTCCCATCTCCAACCTCACTTCTCCAGCGTGGATCTGAATACCTGCTCTTGATGTGAGCTGGGTAACAGGAGTCCTGCCAACCCAATGCTTCATCTCTTCTTTAGGCTTCTCCTTGCTTTCATTCTTATTAAATAACGTCATCATTTACTGACATATCACCTCAGAGAACTAAAGTGCCAATATTTCTCTTCCTTTTGTTTTCTGTTCAAAATACCTCACATGTTGTGTTGACTTATAAGTCAGCCATTTCCCACCACCCCTACCAAAACTATTGATGAGTAACTTGAGGAAACTTTTGAGATCATCAAGCAAACCTGCTTCCCTCTTCACCCCCCACTGTACCCAGTATCAGTAGAAGACAGAAAAAAAATCCACCTCCTCACCTAACTCAAACCTTCATGCTTTGCCTTGGCTTTTCTGCATTCCCAGCCACTAAATTCTCATAAATGTGCCTCCTAAATGTTTCTGAGGGCCACCTTTTTTCTATCCCTCCCTTTGCTGCTCCCAATTGCCTGCTTAACCATAGCAACCTCTTAGCTCTCCGCCAAGCCTCCAATATTGCTCTCAAATTTTTTTTTCTTAATATCAGTGTCCTATCCAGGGACTGCAGTCCTATCCAGACTCTGCAGTCTGTTATTCTCTACACTTTAGCCACTTGTGGCTTTCTGTGTCATCGCACTCTGTTACTTCACTGGTGACAGTTGAGAAACTCCATAAGCCTTAACATATGTGACAGAATGCATGAAATCTGATATGGGGGCTATAGGGGGTGTGGATGGGGAAGGGGTCTAAATATGATTAAGATGTATTTTATGAAGCACACAAAAAAATTGATAAAAGTATACATTGAGGAAAAAATTGTATATCAACCTCAGAAATAAATGTGTAAGGACAATATATTTAATTTTTCTTCATGACAGAGTAATCTATCTTGAATATGAATCTGCACATGATACTTTCATACTTTGCAATGTTCAGCGGTTTCCTGTTGATCCTTAGATAAAACTCCAGAGTTGCCAGGAGTGGTACCATGTGTCTGTGATGTTAGCTCTCAGGAGGCTGAGGAAAGAGACCACAAGTTTGAGGCCAGCTTAGGTTATGTGTGAGTTCTAAGCTAAGCTAAACTGTATTGGGAGATGTCTTTTTGAAAAAAAGGAAACAAGGGGCCGGAGAAATGGCTCAGCAGCCAAGATCACTGGCTGTTCTTGCAGAGGACTGGAGTTCTGTTCACAGCACCCACACAGTGGCTAACAACCATCCATAACTCCAGTTTCAGGGGATCCGACGCCCTCTTCTGTCCTCCTTGGGCACTGCATGACACAGGTGCACTTATACACCTGCAGGCATAACACTCATACACATAATTTTTTTTATTAAAAAAAGAGCAAAAAGGAAAACAAATGAGATCAAATGAAGAAACAAACAAAACTCTCCACAGTTAAACAAAATGAAACAAAGACTTGAAACTTGTTAGGATATGGTCCTGTTCCAGGGTGGTACTGTGGTCGTCCTGTCTGTCTAACCCTCCCACCTCCCCACTGATTTTCCTTGCCTTCCTGTCTGGGCCTCCTTCTCTCACACTTCCTGAACAGCAGCTGTGCTTCTCTGCCTGGGATGGATGGGCTCTTCCCCACTTCGGTGGGGCTCATTCCTTTTCCTCCTCAAGTCTTACTTGGATTGACTTGCCCAGGTTTGGGTTCAGTGGACCTGCCACATGCCCACTGCTTCTCTTTGCATTCACTCTTCTCACTGACTTCTGGCCTCCTGCTCTCTCTCTCTCTCTCTCTCTCTCTCTCTCTCTCTCTCTTATTAGAGGATGTGCCCAGACACTAATTGTTACATCTCTAGTCACACACTTAACACATGCTATAAGTTTAGAAACTGTTTTCTGGGAATGAATGTAGGGATAAATCAATAAATGAGAAAGAAATGATGACAGATATATTGGAATGACTGATATCAATATCACAAACCTTCCCAAGTGAAAGAGAAAAGTAAATTCTAGCATGGAGAACTTAGGGAGTGATGGATGCCTGAGAAAAAAGAACATTTACCCATTAGTTGCAGGAGAAAGTGATGCAAGTAAAATATTCACGTTCTGACTTCTCTTCTAAGAAGCAATCTGACATGAAGTGAAATAGAGGAAAGGGCAAGGTCCAGGAAATAAGCAGAAATTCGACTTAGTCTTAATGTACCCCAGCTGGCCTATATCTGGTGGTAAGATCACTGGAGGTAAAATTTATCCATGTCTTTAGGAAGAGCTGAGTCAACCACTCTGTAGCTCTTTGGAACAGAGCATGAATGACTCATTCTGCTACGTTTTGACCCCATAGGCCAAGCTTAAATTGTTTACATTTACCATCCGTTTATGCTGTTACTTTAGATACAGTAAGACTGACTCAAGGGAAAGGCCATGGAAGAAACAATCCAGAAGGGCAATAAATACAGGATGAGACATTTAACTTCCTTTTTAGTCAGGAAAGAACAGATTAGCAGGAAAAAAACAAGCATTACTTGATGTCAGTCAAAAAAATCCAATAACCCCAAATAGTATTTATGAATATTGGAAATTTGTTCATGGTTAATAAGGGATATAAACTACAAAATAATGTCTTGTGCAATAGTTTGTGTTTAAGGCACAAAAAGTAGTTTTGTACTTTATCAATGGGTGCGTTCTTATGCAGAGCAAACATAAAAATGTAAATGCAAAAGATGTAAATTATAATCTATAACTGCAGTGTTGTACTTCTTTAAAGAAAATGAACAAGATTCTGAACGTATAGAAAAGCGTTAACATGTGTTAAACTGGTGATAGACACATGGAAGTCATTTAATGTTTATGTGTATGAAACACTGAATATGTATTTAAATTTCTTGCAAAAGGAAAGCAGAGGCAAATGAGGAGAATGGACAGCCCAACTTGTGACAATGTGAACATGACCCAGAGTTGAGTATTCTTTGTGGGATGGAGTCTGGAATGATGCGATATTGATATAGTCAACACCCAACCTTTCAATGACTACAAATGGGTGACTATATCTTTTCTTCTTTACAGTGTTGTTATTTCTTTTATTTTGTACGTATGAGTGTTTTGTTTCCATGTATGTAAGTACACCTGTGTTGTGGATTACCCACGGAGACCAGAAGAGGGTGTTGGACCTCCTAGAACTTGAGCTAAGGATGGTTATTACCTGCCATGTGGATCCTGGGAACTGAACCTAGGTCTTCTGCAAGAGAACCCTGTGCTTTTAACCACTGGGCCATCTCTCAACCCCCTTCTTTTCTTTGAAGGGAAATAATTACTTAACAAAAGGAAAATAATTTTCTCTGGTCAATTAGAGTTCAGATCTCAGAATTGAGGGGGGAAAAAAATCTCACTTACCAACAGTTCTCACTTGAACAGCAGCTCTGACTGTCCAGGAACTCACATTATTCGACTGAGTGTAATCACATATGTACATGCCCCGGTTAAAGTGGTAAACTTCATCCACTATGATCGGGTTGCTCTTCTCCTGAGGGAGAAGCTGTCCATTCTAACCAAAATATAGGAAAATTAAATTGCTTTCTGTGGTCTATGAGTTTGTATTAATATTAATTTCACACATAGAAAAACTTCACTAACTAGAAACAGGAAGCCTGGTCAGTTGCAGTGAAGGCATCCTGAAAGCCATAAGGATATTGTGTTCCATACCGTATTATAAGATTCTTACATGAACCAAGAAGCATTTCCAAACTCAAGCACACTGTATATAGGGAAGAGAAACTGAATCCAATCAGCTCACAGGGAGCTGCTGACTTAGTATTTCCCAGAGCATGACTCTGGTGCCCTAGAATATTCTAGAAAACTCAAGCGTTCTCAGGAATGATGCCTAAATCATGTTTTAGTTATATGCACATATGTATGTGAGCATGCTATTTACATATATGTTATACACTTCAACGAAATTGTAGATTTTCTTTGAGAGCAATATGTAAAATATCCTTTTATGATAAATCTAATTTTAATGTAAGAGTAAATTATAGATTAAATATAATTAAATAAACCAGTGTACATAAAAATGATAAAGAATGACTTAATATTAAAAAAAATCACTATTGGACTCAGTGAACTCAATGTCAAATAAAAGTTAAAATACCCCTGTTAGAATCTGTCAGTGACTCCACCTGGCCTCTAACAGGAAGTCTATAATTCTTCCCAGCCTGATCTGCTCTCGTTTCTTGCTACTTTCCCTTTACCATTTGCCTTTCCTTGAAGAGCCACGCTCTTTTGGGACACCTGTATTTGCACGCTCCCCCCACTCCACTTTCCCCAGTTCATAAGCTGCAGCTCCAACTCAGAAAGCAGATCTCAGGAACAAAGACATCATTTGCTTCTGCAGAATCGCATCCAGAGTATTAGGGGTGAACTGCTATTATCAGGGATGGACCTTTTGGACTACATATGTAGTTGGGCACATCCTTGTCTGTAGTTATTGAAAGCAGTTTTTGTGCTTAGATATCTAGTTAGTCCTGGGTACAATGAGAGGAAAAAACATAGGCTCCTTCTCTCTGGGACCTGTCAGTTCAAGACTCTAAGCCCTGAGTCTCAAGCTGTTCAATAGCAACCTGCATATCATCCTCAGAGCACTTGGTAACCCTGCCTCAGCTCACATAAAGCAGGGATGCTTCCTTGAGTACATGCAGAGTTGTGAAGAATACATGGGAATCAGTCTGTTGAAGGTAAATGTCATTTTAGGAACAAAAAAAGCATGCATATGGGAAATGAGGCCAGGGTGAAAAGACTGATGGACTTGGAACACAGATGTGTTTGTTTGATCTTGGTCTCTTTAGTAAATAGCAAGAGCGACAGCAAATATAAGCTTGTTGTCAAGGATATGTGAATATATGAATGCACAGTTAAAAGAAAGGTTTTCAGGAAGATCCCATGATATGACATTTTGAGAAAAATGACTGACAGCTGGATATGGAGCTTTCAGAGCTTTAAGCGTCTTCATATCACCAGAGGAATAGTAGAGCTCAGTCAGTGTCTGTGGAATGACTGACTGTCACTGCCCCAACTCATGCAGCCCAAGCCCCACGTATCATGCTTCTGTGGCACATGACCTTCCAGTTTGCATTCAGTGCCAGGAGCAGATCTCTTACCATTATAGTTTAAAGAAAAGAGATAACACAAATAATAAAAAGTAAGAATCTGTCGTCTACATAGATTACAAAATTCTTCCTTGTATATTTTCACACGTGGTTGTGTTAGATCACAGACCTTCCAGAGGTTGCTGCCTCCCCCAGGGGGCCACCTGCTAGGGGACCCTGCAGCAATATTTCCTCTCTCAGCTCTGCAAAGAGCCAAATACCCCTACCACCCCCACCAACTAAGCCTGCTGCCTCCTGGTGTAGGGCCCACCCCTCCTTCAGAAATCTTTAGGAATGGACACCCAATGAAAATCATTGAGTCATAACTAATTAATTAAATATGGCGGCAACACGAAAGCAGAAGAGAACTGTTGGGAAATGGAAGAGAATCAGCAGGAGATGGAGGGAAAAAGAGAAGGTAACGAGAGGTGACTGTGAAAATACGATCAAAATACATTATGTACAAGTATGAAAATGTCATCATGAAAGCCATTGTGCATAATCAGTATGTAGCAACAAAAGATAAGAACAAACAACAAGGGATGGACACCTCCCTGGGACTGAAGGGTCTTTCTTCAGAACCCTGCAGTGCCGTCTGTGCTGTAATAGCTCCCTTGATAATGCTCTTCTTTGAAGAACAACTTGTCACAGTGTGCCTCCCCACATCTCTCTCCACCTCTCCTCCTCCGCAAATAATCTGGCCATGCACTAAAGGAGTCTCTGACTTGGAATTTGCAAGGATTTTATTTCTTCCATTTTACAAACGAGAAGACAAATACTTTAGAATTTAAATGAAAACCAATTTGAGAAAGCCTAGTAAACAAGAGATTTGAGAGAACCAAACATTTTTCTGACTGAGAGTTTCATGTACTGATTGAGGAATTTCCCTTCCACTGGGCCTTCTTCTCACAGTAGAAGCAGGAATTCCCCTCCTCCCCCCAAGTGTCTGGGGAAGTACCTGTAGCACAGGAAAGAATTTCTTGCAAGGTGGGCAAGGAGTCTAAAACAGAGCCATACTGGTCATAGAGAACAGCTACAGACAGAATGAAAAACCAGGGCAAGGGGTAGGGACAAACAAGGTTGAATATTTACCAGGCATCACAAAATCTAGGGCACCCCAGAGGCAAAACAAAGAACATGAGGGAAAATTCAGAGATAAAATTTTAATGAAGGCAATAATAACCTATGAAGAACAGAATGCAGAGTCGTAACTCTCAAGAGAAAGTGATGTGGAGGCGGGATGTGGAGCCATCCCTAAGGGCTCAGCCAAGCCCTGAGGAGGGTGGGTAGTAATCGAGCGGACCCATTTATTTTACAAATTGGTAATCATGGTCTAGTGTGTGTCATTAAGATTTTATGAAACAGAACTCAAAGGAAATTTATATATATACATATATATAATATGCGACCCTGGTACTGTTATGTTCAGAGGTGAAAGAGCTGGAAACAAAATTATAGAAGGAGAAGCATCCAAAGTGTGATATGTGTGAAATTAGAGGCTCAGAGGAATATAGGAGGCCCACTACATCTTCACTGTAGAGCACAATTTGGAAAATGCTTTCATTATCTCCTTGTTAAACACAAAGATACTTGTGAGCTGAATGATGGGACATTGGGTGACTCTTTAGATAACTAAGCATCATACTCTCGAGTGATGAATTAACGCACCACACGCAGCTGGAAGGGTCCCTCTGGAATCAGCAGCTAAGAACCCTATTTTATAAGCTTGCTTAGTAGTTTCACAAGGGCTTGAGAATCACATGTGCGCATTTATATCATCTATAAACGTCAAAAATCTAAGAATCAGGGCTGGAGCAATGACTCAGGGGTTAAAAGCAGTGGTTGCTCTTGCAGAGGACCCAGGTTCAATTCCCAGCACCCACATGGCAGCTAACAATTGCTGTAACTCCAGTTCCAGGCAATCCAACATCCTCTTCTGGACTCCACAGACATTGCATGACACAGGTGAATTTATACACATATCAGCAATACACTCATACACATAAAATAAAAAGAATAATGAAAATGTGTTTTTTTGGGGGGGTTAATTCAAGAGCAGCCAGGCATGGAGGTACATGCCTTTAATTCCAGCATGTGGGAGGCAGAGGTAGGTGGATCTCTGTGAGATCAAGGCCAGCCTGGTCTACATAGTGAGTTCCAGACCAGCTGGGGCTACAAGAGATCCTGTCTAAAAGAAACTAAAAAAAAATTAAAAAATAAATACAGTAAAAATTCCAGTTTCTTAACACATAGATTGATGAGTGACAGACCAATAAACTAGAATCTAATAAGAATGACTATGAAATTAGGCTCATAGGGTTACAAACTCCACTCTTTGGATACAAAATTGAGAATGTTTGTAGAAATACCTGATTGACGTTTTTGTGAAAAATGGCCTGCTTACCAGCTTAGAGTGGGGCCAAGCCAGCGCTAAGGGAATTGTAAGCGCATCCTGTATTTTGTTCAGAACAAGGAAGCAGATTCTCTGTTTTCAGAAAAAAACATAATCTAAGTTATCTTCATATTGTCCCTATTCAGAAATGCTTCAGCCTCTGGGTCTCCCTAGCCCCAGTACACTCACAGCTCTCCAAGGCAGGAAGCTCATTAAGTGCCCAAAGATGCCAGTTACTGCAAGAACTAAACCACAAGTAAATGAGAAGCAGAAGTGGCTGAACTATGTGCAAAGCTTCCACAGAACACAGGCCTCACCGATGGCCTGACACTCACGTCAGCACTGGAGCACACCAATGTGGCCCAAGTGAGAGTGTCTTAAATTACCAGTGGAAATATTAACTAGTGTACCAGGCCTACTGATAGAAGTAATGTGTCAAAACCATCATGGCATTCTAGGCTGTCTGTGAAGAAACCCTCCCACTGTCCTTCATTATAATTTTGTATTGTATCAAAGAATTGTTTAGTTTAAGATCATAAAAAGTGCTAGCTTATTAACTGTGACTATTTTTTATTCAAGGAATCTGTTTTTGCCAAAGATATTTTCATTATATTTCCAGATATTAGGAATATAAACAAAAATGTTCTTAGAAGAAATAACAGGTAACTTATTTCAATTCTGACTTTTCAATTTTTAAATAATTAATTGTACATAATGCTTATTTATATCCTCAGGTTTCTCTCCCTACCTCTCCAGAGTCATTTATAAAGGCTCTTATTTTGATCAAAAAAAAAAAAAGATTATCTAAGGACAATGACTCAACCAGGCCTCAGTGTTCTCCCTAAACCACTAGGCAAGGAATCATGGTGCTGGTCAGCTCAGGTCCTATGTAGCCCAGGAGCTGAGCAATCATCAAACTGATCCTCATTATTCAAACTTGTCTGTGGAGCATAGCCTCTGCCTTTACTCACCTTGTGTGGCTACGCTGCAACCTGAAGAACACCACCTAGC